ACTACTATTACTAACAAAGTGTTGTAGCATCAGTAGCATGATAAACTTGTGTCGCTGATGATGTTGCCATGTATGATTATTTCTTTGTAATTGAGAAAGTTAATTAGAAAGGATTCGTCATTGATTCCAACACCTTTTCATGGAGACACAAAAGATAGTCATTTAATCAGAAAGCAAATAAACGTGTTACATAGCTATTTACTGTTCTCGATATTTCTGCACATGTGTTGAATGCCTATCATTTCCATTCAATCAGTTGCGCTGAATTAGATTTCAGTCGAGATGCAAATTCCTATTTGCAATAGACTGTTGGAACACTGCGAATGAAATGCAACATACTCTCACGCATTGTATGCACACATGTAAATCGCGGTACGCGAGTAAGCAAAAAGAAAATGTCACACATATTTACATATGTCTATAAAATCACAAATGCATATAGACAGACGATAAACACACAAACACACACACATAAACAAACACAAACACAAAAACATAAGCACACACACACATACACATCCAAATGAACACATCATGTTTATCTATCTATCTATCTATCTATCTATCTATATATACATATATATATATATATATATATATAATATATATTATATATATACCACACACACACACACACACACACACACACACACACACACACACACACACACACACACACACACACACACACACACACACACACACACACACACACACACACACACACACACACACACACACACACACACACACACACACACACACACACACACACATATATATATATATATATATATATATATATATATATATATATATATATATTATATATATATGTATTATTATATTTATATATATATAATATATATATATATATATATATATATATATATATATATATATATATATATATATATAATATATATATATATATATATATATATATATATATATATATATATATATATATATATATATATATATATATATATATATATATATATATATATTATATATATATATATATATATATATATATATATATATATATATATATATATATATATATATATATCATATATATCCATTAAACATGCAGGTATTTACCACCTTCCAACCTCGGCTCATCTACCTACCGAAAATATTCAGATGAATCACATAGGACTTGACGGGCTTCGTGGACACCTGGCACTCGTAGTTCCCGGAGTCCCGAACTTGAGCGTACTTAATCTTGAGGATCCAGTCCTTTGAGCCCTCGGAGTGGATCACCTCGAAGCGCTGGTCCGTCGTGTAGGTGTAACGCTTGACGGTGAGGATGTGTAGGTCCCTCTGGCGGATCCAGGACACCTGTGGGGGAGGAGAGGGGGAGAGGGGTTAGGTGGTTAGGTGGTATTTAGATTCTGAGATGGAGGGATAGATGGGCGGCTATGGAAGGAGAGAAATATAAAAAGAAGGAGAGGAGGGAGGGATGGAGCGAGGGAGAAAGAGGGAGGTGAGGAGAGAGGGAAGAGCGGAAGGAAGGAAGGAGGGATGTAGGGAGAGAAAGAGAGAGAGGAAAGAAAGGAAGCAAGAGGGACGGACAGAGACGGAGAAATAGGCAGATAAGGAGAGAAAAAAGATAGACAGAGACAAAGAAACAGCACACAAAGATAAGTTAAGAAATATAGCCAGAGACAAGGACGAACATAAAAGCAAGAACAGAGGAAAAGATCGAACACGCCATTCTGAAACGCCTTCCTCCAAAGGGACACGATTTATGATATGCACTTGACCTCAAACCTTAAGAAGTAACGGCATCAGGGAACTCCTTGTTTATACACTTACATAATACCAAACCTTTAATAAGAATATTGTGTTTTGTCGCTCGGATGAAAAGAAAAAAGAGATAAAAAAGAAATGGACGAATAAAAAAAAGGAAAATATATGAATCCGTGAACGTAAACTAATATGCTTGTGCTTGCTTCTGAACCCAGGAAGGAAAGCATACTGTGGTCGCCCGTGCTTGCTTTTGTCCTTAGGTGCGTGACTTTAGGTACGAAGCATAGAGCATATGCATTATCTATCGTATTGATTCCGTCGACCAGCAGAACAATGCTGCCTTTTGAAACCACTGAAGGAACTTCTATATATATACCTTGTCCCCAAGGCCTTTGTACATCATAGACTTGTATACTGATGGCAAGAACTCGGTTTCTCAATAATGGCTGAGAAGGTCAACGACACATGTTTAATACTTAACAAGCATATCAAGAAATATCGCTACCAAATTCCTACATTTAATTTCTAAAGGAAAAGAAACTTTCAGGAGTGATAGCAATCGTTCTGACATCAATGCGCTGCGAATAAAATCATTGCGCTAATGATTTTGATAATGTCAGTTAATTGAAGAGTGTGACTAGCAAGAATATGAATGTTGAACACCTTGATGAAATAAGACTTTCATAATTATCTTGCATGGGGGAGAATCAACAGCTTTCCAGGTGAACATGTTATTCTTTTA